TTGTGTTATATTAGTCTTTGAGAGGCCAGTCTCATTTCTATTTAATGCAAAACCTTTTGTAACTCACTAAGCATCTTCTGGATGGCAGGAGTGAAGCTGTGGCTGCTCACTGCTGTGCCCCGACACTCAGGGTGGTGGGCAGACAGACCCAAACAACCCATGGGTTTCCTCTGCCAGCTTCTTTGCTCACAGGGTGTCACCCACCTGCATGCAGTGTCACTGTCTTCATGTGCAGTCCAAGCACATCTGTTATATATATATCCTTGCTCTCTCAAACCAAACCAAAAATTTTTCCATTATTTTCTTTGGTTTTGAGCCAGTTAAGATATCCCTTTTAAAATATGCATTTTGACATTTGGATTTTTACATAGATTAATACTCATTCTTGAAGACATAACAAAAGCTAAAGAACCCAAACAATATCTAGTGTACTTGGGGCAGTTCATTTGTAACCCTTGTAAAGACCAGTGCTCCACATCATCTTTCATAGAGAGATATCCCATTAAAGAAACAGATCCACATAAATGAATATAAAAGTAACTCTCTTTCCACCCAGAGCAAGTAGAAGGAAGGAAATAACCAAGATCAGAGCAGAATTAAATGACAGAGAGACTAAAAGCACAATTCTAAGGATCAATGAATCCAGGAGCTGGTTCTTTGAAAAGATAAACAAAATCGACAAGCCTTTAAGCAGGCTCATCAAGAAAAAAAGAGAGAGAACCAAAATAAACACAATCAGACATGAAAGAGGAGAGATTACAACTGATACCACAGAAATACAAAGGATTTTAAGAAATTACTACGAAGAACTGTGTGCCAAGAAATTTGAAAACCTAATGAAATGGACAAATTTCTAGAAAAAAAAATCTTCCAAAACTCAATGAAGAAGAAGCGGAAAGCCTGAACAGACCAATAACAGCAAATGAAATTGAAGCAGTAATCAAAAAACTCCCAACATACAAAAGCCCTGGGCTGGATGATTTCATAGGAGAATTCTACAAAGCATTTAAGGAAGAGCTAACCCCTATCCTTCACAGATTACTCAAAAAAATCCAGAATGATGGAAGACTCCCAAACTCTTTTTATGAAGCCAGCATCATTATAATCCCTAAACCAGATGAAGACACAACAAAGAAAGAAAACTTTGGTCAGTATTGCTGCTGAACATAGACACTAAAATCCTCAACAAAATATTGGCAGACCACATCCAACAATACATTAAAAAGATCATACACCATGACCAAGTGGGATTCATTCCAGGGATGCAAGGATGGTACAATATTCGCAAATCAATAAATATAATACATTACCTAAACAAAACCAAAGACAAAAATCACATGATCACATCAATAGATGCAGAAAAAGCATTTGATAAGGTGTAGCACCCATTTATGATAAAAACACTCAGAAAAGTGGGAATAGAAGGAGCATTCCTCAATAAAGGCCATATGTGAGAGACCTACAGCCAACATCATACTCAATGGGCAAAAACTAAAATCTTTTCCACTAATATCAGGAATAAGACAAGGTTGTCCACTTTTACCACTTCTATTCAACATAGTATTGGAAGTTTTAGCCACAGCGATCAGAGAAGAAAAGGAAATAAAAGGCATCCAAATCAGAAAGGAGGAAACAAAACTGTCATTGTTTGCAGATGATATGACAGTGTACATAGAAAATCCTATAGGCTCCACCAAAAAACTGCTCAAACTAATAAATGAATTTAGCAGAACAGCAGGATACAAAGTCGATATCCAGAAACCAAAGGCATTTTTATACCAACAATGAAACAGCAGAAGCAGAAATCAAGAAAAAAAATCCCAGTCAATATAGCAACAAGAAAAATAAAATACCTAGGAATAAACCTAACCAAGGATGTAAAAGACCTGCACTCAGAAAACTACGCAACACTGAAAAAAGAAATCAAGGAAGACACAAACAAATGGAAATATATACTGTGTTCATGGACTGGAAGAATTAACATCATCAAAATGTCCATACTATCCAAAGCAATTTACAGATTCAATGCTCTATTAAAGTACCAATGGCATATTTCACAGGTATAGAACAAACACTTCAAAAATTTATATGGAACCATAAATGACCCCAAATAGCTGCGGCAATTTTGAGAAAGAAGAGCAAAGTAGGAGGGATCACAATACCTGATACCAAACTGTATTACAAGACCACTGTAATCAAAACAGCCTGGTACTGGTATAAAAACAGGCGCATAGACCAACGGAACAGAACAGAGAGCCCAGAAATAAACCCAAGTCTCTATGGTCAATTAATATTTGACAAAGGGGGAAGCAACGTAAAATGAAGTAAAAATAGCCTCTTCAACAATGGTGTTGGGAAAACTGGACAGCTACATGCAAAAAAATGAAACTTGAGCACCAACTTACACCTTATACAAAAATAAATTCAAGGTGGATAAAAGATTTAAACATAGGCCATGACACCATTAAAATCCTAGAGGAGAACATAGGTGGGAAACTCTCAGATATTTCACACAGAACTGATATGTCCCCTACAGCAAGGGACATAAAGGAAAGAAAAAACAAATGGAACCTCATCAAAATAAAAAGCTTCTGCACAGCTAAAGAAAAACAGTATTAAAATAAAAAGAGAACCAACTGCATGCACAAACATATTTGCTAATGATACCTCAGACAAGAGTTTAATCTCCAAAATATATAAAGAACTCATACAACTCCACTCTAAGAAGACAAGCAACCCAATTAAAAAATGGGCAAAGGGCTTGAACAGACACTTCTCCAAGGAGGACATACAGAGGATCCAGAGACACATGAACAAATGCTCAGTATTGCTAGCTATCAGAGAGATGCAAATTAAAATCACAATGAGATACCACTTCACACCAGTCAGAATGGCCATCATTAACAAAGCAACAAACAACAAGTGTTGGAGAGGTTGTGGAGAAAAGGGAACCCTAGTGTATGGCTGGTGGGATTGCAAACTGGTATAACCACTGTGGAAAACAGTATGGAATGTTCTCAGAAAACTAAAAATGGATCTGCCTTTTGACCCAGCAGTTCCACTGCTAGGATTATATCCTAAGAACCCTGAAACACCAATCCAAAAGAACCTATGCATCCCAATGTTCATAGCAGCACAATTTACAATAGCCAAGTGTTGGAAGCAACCTAAGTGTCCATCAATAGATGAGTGGATCAAAAAGCTGTGGTACATTTACACAATGGAATTCTATGCAGCAGAAAGAAAGAAGGAGCCCCTATCCTTCTCGAAGGCATGAATGGAACTAGAAAGCATTATGCTAAGCGAAATAAGCCAGGCAGTGAAAGACAAATACCATATGATCTCACCTTTAACAGGAACCTAATCAACAAAACAAACAAACAAGCAAAATATAACCAAAGACACTGAAATAGAGAACAGGTTGACAGTGACCAGAGGGGAGAGGGGAGGGAGTTCCAGGGGAAAAGGGGAAGGGTTTGCAGGAACAAGTGTGGGAGATACATGGATGGAAACAAGGAGGGGTAGAAATGGGAGGGAGGTGGGAAGGGCTGGGGGGTGGGCTGGGATAGGAGTAAAAGGCAGAAAACTGTACTTGAACAACAATTAAAATAAAAAAAAAAGAAAATTAAAAAACCCTCCCTTTCCTTCCCTGATTTTTCTTGAAGGGACACTAAATGACATCCAAATGGCCCAGGTGTCCTTATTCACACTTGCTTTCCCTTCCCATCCATTTTCTTCATGATTGCAGTTGCTTAATTGATCTCTTCTAAAATTCCCTAGAAAGAAAATTTCCTTTATACCCCACCTGTCTTTTTAAAATTCTTTTTTGATCCCCTACTCAGTTCTTTATTATGAAGGTACATACTTTTTTCTTATGTAAATATTTCTTTCTTTCCTGAAGTGAGAAGCAGGAGAAATATCTCTGACCCGGCAGGTCTTCTCTTCAGAGAAAGGTGGGTTGGTGATGAATATGCTCATGTTAATAATTCTTATGCAATCACACATTATGTTCACTATTGTATTGAATTGATTTCCTCTAACCAAAGTACACTTAAGACTATATCTTATGTGAAGACAGGTCTATTCTCCCCATAATGAATTCTAGAAACTTATCAACTATAGACTTAGGAAATTCTCTTTCCATCGATCTTATAAACTATCATGCTACTATTTTAATAAAATCTTGTCTTTCCCCCCCTTTCTGTGGAGAAGAGAAATAACACGAAGCAATACATTTGAAAAGTTGAGGAGAAAGAGGGTGCTCAGAGACTTCTGAAAAAATGATGTGAGATTTTTGCTTCATGTGCCAGTTGCGACAATTTAGAAAAAAGATGGGGTATGTGATGTGGTAATAGGGGAAAAAGGCTTAGTCACTGAATGGGTCCTCAGAACACAGGAGCCAAAAAGAATATACGACCTAGAGATATGAATTAAAGGAAAGTCAAGTATGAAAACAAGGCAAGGAGTTAGGGGTGTAATCTTTTCCTTAAATTCTTATTTAAAAACTTCATCAAACTAGAGAAAATATATTTTTAATCTTTGATAATATAACAGAGACAGGAATATTTCTCGCGCTATTATCTTAACCCTTCTCATTTTCCAGGTAAAGCATTTTGTTTGCAATCCGGACTGGTAGGTCTCCTGATAGAATTATTAATCAGAAAGGCTGGGCTCTGTGTAAGCTTTCCTTGTTGCTAGCTCCTATGGAGACTCGTTTTCATACGTCCTCAAAGTGCACAAATCGGTGGACTGCACAAAGCAGAAGGTGATGGACTTCATGACACTCCTAAATGACTGGCACCAGGTCTGTTCTGAAGAAGGCTGCTCCCCCTGACTCCTCGTCCCCTCTATCTCATGTTCAATCACATCATCCATGGACTAGAATTGTGCACGGCAGAATATATCTCTGGTGAAAAATCTTGTCAGAGAGACATGACAAAAACCATCAAACAGGGACTTTTATGTCACATGGCATTAGGGAAAACCAAACTCTGGCTCACCTTCACGTACAGCGGCTCCCTGAGGTGGTCAACAAGAATGGAAGCTTTCTCCTCCCACACAGGGTTGAGGTTCTTGTATATTATTTTACTTCTAAAAACTTCTTTTCCTCCCATTTTAAACTTCACGTAAGGATCACTTGTGCCTGTTAAAGAAATGCAGATTGATCATGTTAACTGTGCCTTTCTATGGAAGGAAGAGAACAACTCATCCAAACACCAGAAAGTATTCAAGGAATAAAAGTTCAACAAAACTGATCACATGGAAAATAGGGTTAAGGGTTTTTTCCTGGAATATTGAAGTGAAAATAAATTATGTTAGTATAATAATAACAATCATTATTATTAACCTTCTGTACTTAATACTGTTACCCTGTCCTGGTATTTTTAAAAGTCTATTGCATGTTGCATATGTACATTTAATTAATATTATAAATGGTAGGGATTAATCTGACATTTCTCTTGGTACCATCTGGTTAACTATAAAAAGGATGATCCATGATCTTGGCTGATTTAACTAGTTTTAGACTTAGATAAGCTGCTAAAATTTTATACTAGTCTAATGTGTTTAATTAGGCAAAGATGAGTCTCAAACTGGGCTTCAATTTCATCCTTGGTCCCACATTCTCTCTTTCTCAGAAGGTTCAGTTTTGAACGTTAGGAAGGAAGGAAGGCCTCAGAGGAAGGAATCGGGGAGGAGGTGACAAATGTTTAGGAAATAATCTGGATACCTCATATTATCCTTTAATACCGCCCAAGCTCCCAAAGGTGATAAAAAATCAGAGCTGCCAGATAAGTTGCTTATGGACAACAGCTGGCAAGAGGTGGCGTTAGGATCCTAGCTAGGATGTTTGACTCGAATGCCTGTGCTGCTTCTACTACACCTGCAAGAGGGAGGGCTTTACACACCTCCACACACAGGGTCTGGCAAGTAACACCTGCTTGAGTGTGGTTGGTGGGGAAATAATACGGGTGTAATAATTTATAGTTTTAATGTGAACATTTCACCTAAAATGGCGTATGGTGTGCTAGAGTATAATATTGTTTTACTACAGAGTTACATGTTTATTTTGTAATGAAAGGTTCTATAATAAAAAGGGGTGTTACTTGTGCCAGACACTGTATATTATACAATCTCTGCCATTCTGACTGATGAAAAAGAGCAGTCTCGACATAAGGAGTCAATGTTGTTATTAAGAATTCCTGGAGAAGGAGTATCAGTGATGTCCCAGGTAAATCATTCCAATGCGTGACAACCTTCATCCTCAGGAAATAATTCTTTATATAAGGCTCTTATAATAAAATTGTGTTCGATTTGTTTCAGTTTTTTCCACTGAAGTTATAGTTGATAACTATATCTATATGATTTAAAAATGTGAGTGGGGCAATGAAAACTGAAAAGCACCATATAAATATTAGGCATTACAACCACAATACTGATCTTAGACACACAATCTGTATCCCTCCTCACCACTCACCTCAACGACACATAAACACCACTGCCTTAGAGGTTGTGGCTTTTCTTATTTAGTCACTTGGGGGCTCTCTCAAAACTCCCCACATTCTCCAAATAAAAACAATGCCTTGGATTTGTGTGGCTAGACTGTGTATAATAAAAGAATGATCCAAATTTCTCATTGTAAAATTCCCATTTGGGATAATTTAATTTTATCATAATGGTACCAACTTTTAAAAATATTTATAAATACAAATGCAAACTAGTACATAGTAGCCTGTTATAATATGTTCTCTAGAGGCTCAATGCAACCAAAATGTTTAATATTTAAAATGACTATTTTTAACTTAGTGGTTTCCAGTTAGGGCTGTGGACCCTGGACACTGAGCATTGTAACACACACATTGAGGGATATTAAAATCCATCATTTGTATTTTCCCAGTGAAGCCTTAGATCAAGTTATTGCCTTTCACTTTGAAAATCATCCATGTAATTGCTACCACCTGTGAAAATATAATAAGCTCCATAATACCAGAGTCCTTTTTGTCACTATTTTTAAAAATCTTCAGTGCTTAGTACAGAATCAACATTCTGTCATATCCACGATGCCATCCAAGGCAGTAGATACCCAACAGGCTGGAGAAATAATCCACCTAACAAGCGTCGGCCTAAGGGTGAATTGAAGGTAGGAATCAGAGACAGAATTTTTAGTCTGTGACAGGCACAAAGATCTCACAAATTTGTATAAGAAAAAGAGAAAAGCTGTTTTTAGGGACTTTGAAAACACGTTTCGATGGTAAAATATTTTACAAATGTGTAGATTTGGCCATGGGGTGACCTGGATTGGAGAGAGCAAACATGTTAGCAAATATCATAGTCACCACTACAGGGACACCAGACTCACAAGCCCACTCACGGGAGTGAGCCGCCTGGCTTTCCTCACTTTATTCTGAGTTCACTGGGTAAAATCTGCTACACTTCTCTCTTTGCAACCACTGATTAGTCCTCTGGGTACTATCGTTAAGATTTAATAATACGTTAGTAGTCCAATTTCTTTAAGAAAATTTGAATTGTTTTCAATTTATTAATTTAGGTGACCTTTGCTGACTTAGAGTCCTTAACGGTTCAAAATTTCCAGCTTGTGATTCCAACACAGAGAACTGGAGACACTGTTTTAATTTAGAGTCAGTAAAAAATTTGTATCTAATCTTTTATGTTTGAAAGTGTTTTTCAAGTTTATTTCAGCTAGTTATTATATGATAATATTAATAGGTATTATTTGCTTTTTTAAAAAGTGTTCTTTGGTCAAGCATATTTGAAAAATGCTGGTTTAAAGAAAAATCAAACAGATTTCATTTTCTATAGCCTTTAAATAAGAGAATGGACTCTCTAATGCAAGGGTATGGCATGAGACTTCTTTGATGATAGGGCCTACTTTTCTTAAGTACATATTTTGAAAGCTATTCCCCAATGTGACTTTGGAAAGTGCTACCTTATTATATTTCACAGATAAGAAAATCTCACATGTTTTGGAGATTCTTTCATTACAATAGACTTTCCAGTGAAATCCAGGAATTTTATTATAATGAAAACTCCCAACAAATATAAGCCACTAACATGTGATTAATCTTTATTAAATATATTATACCAAAAAAAGGTTTAGTTGTTTCAAAAAAAATTTAAAAACTATTAATTCATGTGCCTGTGCTGTTTTGTTGCAATATTGCATTCAACCACAAGATGGCACTAACACTTATTAAATTCTGCAATTCAAAGTTAAGGCACCTCTGCTGCACACAGGTTCTCAGGCATTTTCTTGTGCTTTATTATCATTAGCTGGGTCATGACCCTCATTAAAACATTTTTATGGTGATAATGAAATGAAAACAGGGTAAATAAACAGGAGAGGAAAGTAGGAAGTGTTAGCTCTTCACTTTGCTATCAATGACATATTTGAGAGCAATCTTTCAACATCCATTTTATCATAGTGCATTAACTTCAGAATTTATTTGTAAACACTATTAATTATTTTATAATTGTTAATTACATTCTTCAACAATTTTAAACCATCCATTGTTTATATCTGTACCCTAAGATCATATTGGTTTTGTTGTTTTTTTTTAAGGACATGGTTTGTATATCTTCTTGTGTAGTAAAGGATAACATGTCCCCACTGCCATGTTCGATCTTTTTCAGAGTCAGGCCACCAACGAGCACTTCAACATTACACGTCATTGGTCAGTCAGCCTTTAATTAAAGTCCAGCAGAACCAAACTTTGAAGGGGTCCCCTTCTGTGCAGAAATGAGCGCAGCAAACACCAGATGGCAGCCTCTCCCCCCTTCAAATTGTATCATAGATATTTAAAACGTAAACAGCTGTATAATACTGAGTCTCTTGGTTTTCATTCTCAGAATAAATAAGCCTCCTGGTTAACAAGTTTAAATCTACCTTATTCCAAATCTATTACACAATGAAAATAATTAGCTGCTCCTACTTCAGAGACCTGTAGTTTTCAATAATGCTAAATCCTAATAAAAAACAATGTGAATTTGCAAACTCAGATTCTGTATAGAAGGAGAAGAAGAAGGAAGATGTACAGATGTTGATGTGAACAAACTGATTCCATTTTTACAAGCCCTATACTTTCTGTATTCTCGAATTAACTTTGGCCTCACTGGTCCTAGCCAGTACATACAGGTTCTGTAGCTAATGATTAGCTGTGTTCCATAAGCCTACACAATGCAATCAAAGATTCCTCTCAGTTAACAGCCAGGAATACATAACAGCGGAAGTAAATATCACACTGGTGTTAGCGTCAGCACTAAGCAATTATCTACCACAATACCATCAGGTGGTATGCTCCTGGCTCTGTGCATTCTTTGTCCCTTTGTCTCGTCAATCAGTAGTAGTTCAGCTGTACTGTAAAAATATTTACTGTAGCAACTGCCTTTCAGTGGAGAATAACCTGTGCAGGACTGCCAGTGCTGTATGTCCACCCCCACACTCCATCCCTGTGAGTAAACTGCTCTATAGTAAATTCTATTATATTCTATGATGGAGTTTCCCACTTCATTTTTGGTCTTAACACACCTTTAAAGTCTGGTGGTCACTGTACCTCTGGCTCCATATTCAGACACAGGAAAGAAAGAGAAAGAAGGAAAAAAAGACAACAAAAGAAAAAAGAGAAGTGACCCTAAATAATATGTGTGGCCAGTTAAAAAGAACTCAAATTTAAGCTGGATCTTCCTGAAGGTACCCAATTTTTCTACAAATATCTGAAGTAACCTTTACTATTCAAATGCAAAAATGAAGGCAATTTTGTGTAATTTCGTCCTTCATACTAGAAAGAGGCTTGTAAAAAAAGTGATGTTCAAAACATACTCAGAGCAACAGATTGTCTTAATGTAAATTAATTTCCACTAATACTTTTAAAATCTTCAAAACAGGTACCATATTTATATGTTAAAATCATTTCCTTAAGTTCTTTCATTCCTTCCTCATTTTTGGTTGGAGATTTTTAAGTCCCAGCACTGGAAATATTACATGGGCTAAAAGTCTAAATATATGAAAATTCAAAAGCAAGAGATGTATAATCACACATGGCTTAATGTAATAAAATAAAAAGCAAAGTAACAGTTTTTCCATAATGAGGAATATGAATATTCCAGTCAGTTTAAAATTTCTAGTTA